ATCTGCAAACGGCATCCTTCCATTCCATTGAGCTCTCCCCTGCTCCTGACGACAGGAAGGAATCATGTGCGATTGACGCAGTAATTGCGCTGTCCTTGTCCCAGTACAATGCGCGGCCCACCTCTTGCGTCTTTCCCTTGCGCTGTCGCCGACGCCGGCCCCCCGCTGATGCGTTTGGCAGGGGAGCAGCCAAAAGTGCAGACTCGCGTCACGGGGGGAGAAAAGGAGAGCTCTCCTTGTCCTGTATGTCAGTGCGTGTGTGCTGCTCATGCTCTGGTGGAGCCGAGCCTCCGCCTGTGCTGGACCTACCTCTCGGTTGCAAACAATGATTACCATCCCCTAGTACTACTGCACACATCTTTTCGGTTGCAAAGCAAACTGTGATGGTTGATGGGGGTTCCTTTTTCTAATCCTGGGATCTTGCCATCTAAAAGCAACACCCTTCCATCTGAAACAATTCAAGATGGCGTGAGCATAATATGCATACCATTGCCCTCCTCAATGCGATGTCTGCGCTGAGGAACAATATGCCATCCTAAATGACGGTTGGAATTGGATAGGTTCATAGTTACTGAATTGCCTCAGCCGTATGCTCCGATCCTAAATTTTGCATCAAGTGATTATTCAGTCTTTTTTGCTATCTCTCTCTTTTTTTTTTGCATTAAACTGAATAGTTTCACATGTACTTTATTTCATTTGGATGCCAATTGATCCATGTGTATTGGAATCAGTAGCGAATGCTTGCTGCTAGTACTAGCTGAATTTATTCGTACCTCACTGGCTGCACCGCTCCCAATGTAGCACAAAATAATCTGCCCATGTTTGCACTGTAATAATGATTTGCAGGGTACAACTTAGCTTCATGAAAAATTGTATAATTTGCCAATCTTAATTTTTCTTTTTGGCCTCAAGTCCTCAACCCCAAATTTCATATCTGCTTTGTGTATCAATCTTTTTCTTCTTTCAAGTAATGCTTGCTCCCTCATGTATGTCTTTTTTCCCCTTTTTGCAGGATTTTCCACCACACACATGCATCCTTTTGGATTTGTCTAGTTCCTAAACCCTTCTTTCAGACTGGCAGGTATCAAGAGGTCAAACACATCTCGCACCTCTAAGTGGGTGTGGGCCTGCAACAATTCTGCAACCACCCTATCCTTGCCTTTGGGAGTAAGCCCGACTTACATCTGGAGGCTGCGCCGAGCCTTGGAAGGCCTTTTTGTTGATTACGGCTAATTCCCAACAGCAGCTGAGATGTAACAAGTTTGCTCAGTTCAGTTCTCTAGAAAAAGTTCCTGTGCTTCAGCAATGTGATTGGTTTCATAGGGTTTTTGGTGTGTTGGTGATCAAAGCAATCTGGTGTAAGCTTACGCAGTTGACATCAGAGCTTATTTCTTATGGTTAGGTTCTTTTGCTTTTCATCCTCTACTGCACAGCACAGATCCAAGGTACAGACAAGTACCTCTTGTATTTTTACTGCCTCCTGTTGCATTCCCATGAAGAAGAAACTAGTTTAGATCCTACTTACTACTCAAATTTCTTTTGTTCTCTTTTTAGGAGGGGTTTTCCCCAGCAGATGAAACCATGCGTGCAGCGTCAAAGGATTCTCAGTTGGAGACCATGATTGCCTCAGCTAGTCCAAACCAGATGGCAGATGAAAATAACCGTTCAGCTGTCAGCGGGCATTGTGGCACTAGCCCATCATCTCATCAAGAATGCTGCAGATCAGAAGACTTGAATAGATACGTATGCTCTGATGAGGGCAAGGAGGTTGGGCACCTAAAGAAGAGCCAATCTCTTGGAAACATGTTTCAAAAGGATCATGATCATAATTCTAGCGAAGGCTCTGAGTTTGATGCTACAAACCATGAACATAAATGCGACCCCTCTAGTTTCAAGAGAGGTGAAGTTGTTGGAGAATCTACTAAGGCGTGCAGCCCGAAAAATGAGGACGATTTTGATGCCTCATCTGACCTAATCAGCCATGACTTTTGTGAACCTTTGGGTGATCACACTGTTGATTCCGATAGCCATCATCGCATGTCTTATTCCCAGAGCAAATTCCCAAGATCGCAATCTGCAATATTTCAGAATGATTCCACCAGTGATCCAGAAGGTTCTGTCGATTCTGAGATACTAGGGTCTCGTTGCAGATCTGTTGATGGTTTATGTTCACTGATTGATGAGAAGTTTGACTACCTGAGCGGTGGTGAAATGCATCGCAGTAAATCGAATTTGGATGTTTATTGTGCACCTTCTTCTCCAAATGTGTACCGGGCATCAAACATTGACGACCGTGGTTCAGTAGGTTGCTCTGATGCTGCTGTAGAGGGTCAACGGTCCACTGGAAGCACAGAAGAAAATTTTGTCAGGGATGGGATCCTAGTAGGTCATGAATACTGGGATGGCAAATACATTTGTGGTGATCACTCACTGGATCCAGTTGCCCCTTTCTGTGCAGATCCAGGGGATGTTTATCACCATTCTGGGAATGACGGTGACCTCAGTGAAGCTACAGATCAAGAGAGAGAGAAGCTGTGGAACAGAGATAGCACACTCCACCAGTCACTTGTAGTTGAAGTGCCTGAGTCGGTGAACATTTCTGATACAAATGACATTAGTGGGGAACCTGAACACAGTAAAACTGATATTGATGAGGACCCAAGTGAACTTACTCCAAGAACCTACAATATTAAAAGAATCGAGGATTGGATCAACCAAATTGATATCAATGATATCGCTTTGGATGAACAAGGAGAAAGTTCAAATTCTGCTTTGGCCAAATCTAGTGAGCCAATGGCTGGTGTTCCTGCTGTGCGGCCTGATGCTAAAAGCCCGATTGGCATGGAGATAGCTTACACTTATATTTCAAAGTTAACTCCTGCTTCATCATCGGCACAGTTGGCAAACCTTGGTTTGGTTGCGATTCCAAGACTGAGCGCATTCTCAGGTTTGCGCGTATTGAACTTATCAGGGAACTCAATTGGTAAGCCCTTTTTCTTTATTATTATTTTTATTAGTTCAGCATTAAGTTATTAGCGGCATGCTGTATGCTGTTTTCCTATCCTTGTTTTCTTTTGCATCTGTACTGCTCATCTGTTTCAAGAAGATTACATCGCATTTCTAATGTTTGGGTCTTTCTGTGCAGTGCGAGTAACCGGAGGAGCTCTTCCAAAAGGCCTTCACATGTTAAGCCTGTCGAAGAATAACATATCAACAATCGAAGGCCTCAGAGAATTGACACGATTGCGCTTGTTGGATATCAGCTATAATAGGATATCTAGAATTGGTCATGGTACGTGTTTTAGCATCTTATAGTTTGCTCCTTACTTTATTTATTGTGTTACTTTATTTATGTGCTTCTCCTTGTTGTAGTCACTTGATAGAATCTTATGTCGCTCATACCTCCTTTCCCCCATTTTCATCTTCTGACTTGGCGAGTTGTTATTCTTTAGATTCTTAACTATCTTGAGGGGTTTGAGAAACCATTCATGGATGTTTCCTGAAACTGAATTATATATGATTATTCAACTGAAAAGATTTCTTTACTTGCATTGACTTTGTTTTGGATTATTTGTTAGGACTGGCCTCCTGTTCCTCATTGAAGGAGTTATATCTGGCTGGTAACAAGATCAGTGAGGTAGATGGTCTTCACCGGCTGTTGAAACTTAAGGTTCTGGACTTGCGCCACAACAAGATTTCTACATCAAAGGGCCTTGGGCAGCTAGCTTCGAATTACAACTCTCTAGAAGCGATTAACCTTGACGGCAACCCTGCACAGAAGAATGTAGGTGATGAGCACCTGAAGAAGTACCTTCTTGGTCTCCTGCCAAACCTAGTTGTGTACAACAAGCAGCCTATTAGGGCGACTGGTTCAAAAGATGTCTCAGACCGCCATACACGCAAGATCCCTTCTTCGCACCGTTCCGACCGTGGTGGTAGATCGGACCGCAAATCTTCCAGGTTGGTGGGTTCCTCATCTTCTCACAAGCCACAGAGCTCACGTCATGCACGCTCTGGATATGCCTCAAGCTCAGTGCTGAAGTACACAAGAGCCCGCAACACGCCCTCGACTTTGCTGGGGTCAAGACCCGTGGAACATGTGAGTGCCATAGATCTGGCGAAGCAAATTCCGACAGAGGGAAAGACACAGTAAGATAAGTCAAGCACGACCATCATATACCATGTCAATGTTGTGAAATAAGCGAGGCACCAGTTTTGCTGATCGATTTTTTCTCACGTGAATAAAGCTTGAAACAATAAGCAGAGCAGTGCTTGCATATCAGCACATATTTTTCTAATATTCTTGAGTGGTATTGATGACAATTGGGAATTGTATGATTTTTCCCCTCACGAATAAAGCTTGAATGAAACAATAAGATTAGCAATTTTTAATACGTCTTCTGTAAGACTGTAATATTGGTTGGTGATAAATTTTGTGAGCACTATTTGAATTTTGTGAGTTGTTCTGAGTGTATGGTACAACTACAAGTACCCTTGGGTGGACAATTGGTGGCACACTTCTGTTGATTATGTATGGCTAATTGGTAGTACATGATGAAGGCAAATAATCCGTTTGGTTCCATCTGGAATGTGTTTACCACCATGCAGGAAATGATTGGTTCAAATTGTAGAAATGATTGGTTCAAATTGTAGTTCATCCATCCTGTATGTTTATACTCTAATAGCAACAAGCAAATACCTGATACATCTTCTAAGAAATGGATCTGATTGAGGTGATAATTCACAGTGGTACGGTACATGTTTTTTTCAAGAATTAATGGGCGTAACAAATATTACACAAACAAATACTAGTACTACGAGAGTATGGAGCTACTACTTGATGGAGAATTAACTCAAGACTTAATGGGCGTAACAAACATTACACAAACAAATACTAGTACTAGGAGAGTATGGAGCTACTACTTGATGGAGAATTAACTCAAGACTTATGGGCGTAACAAACATTACACATGTACAATCGATCGATCAATCCGGACATTTCAGGCGTCGGCCCCCTTGGTGTCGCGGCCGTTTTTGGCCATCTGCAGGTGGTTGCCGCCGACGTGCACGTCCTCGTCGGCGATGAACTTTTTCCAGAACCAGTGTGACTTCCAGACGAGCACCATCTCCTCGATGGGCACGTTCTTGGTCTCCGGCAGGAAGAGCGCGATGAAGACGGTCATGATGACGACCCAGCCGGCGAAGAAGTAGAAGAGCCCGAACTTGAAGTGGCAGAGCATGGTGAGGAACGCCTGCGCGATGCAGAAGGTGAAGAACATGTTGACGGACACGTTGATGCTCTGCCCCGCCGGCCGGATCTCCAGCGGGAAGATCTCCGACGGCACCAGCCACCCGAGCGGCCCCCACGACCAGGCGAACCCGGCCACGTAGGCGCAGATGAACACCACCACCGCCGCCGCGTAACCCCTGGCGATGTCGCCCGTGCCGCTGGTCCCGAACTTGGCGGCGATGAGCGTGCCCACCACGAGCTGGCACACGATCATCTGCGCGCCGCCCTGGAGGAACAGCTTCCGGCGCCCCACGCGGTCGACGGTGACGATGGACACCACGGTGGCGAAGACGTTGACGAGCCCCGTGATGACGGAGGACATGAGGGAGGCGTCGTTCTTGAACCCCAGCGTCTCGAACAGCACCGGCGCGTAGAACATGATGACGTTGATCCCCGTCAGCTGCTGGAAGAAGGGGATCACGACGGCCATGGTGAGCTGCGCGCGGTACCGGCGCTTGAGGATGTTCCGCCACGGGTGCTGCACCTGCCGGGCCTCCTCGCTCGCCGCCACCAGGTCCGCGTACTCCTCGCCGATGTCCTCCGTGCCGCGGATGCGCCGGAGCATGCGCCGCGCCTCCTCCGGGTGGCCCCGCTCCAGGAGGGAGTTGGGGGTGTCGGGCAGGAAGATGGAGCCCAGTGTGATGATGGCCGCCGGCACCGCCGCCAGCGCCAGGCTCACGCGCCACCCGTACCCGGCCTTGATCTTGTTGGTGCCGTAGTTGATCAGCTCCGCCGCCAGGATGCCGATGGTGATCATCAGCTGGAACCCGATGTTGAGCATGCCCCGGAGACGCGCCGGCGCCATCTCCGACAGGTACACCGGCACAGACTGCATACATGCATGCATGTGTACGTTAGAAATCAGATTTCATTCATTCATTATTGCTAGTACTTGCCAAAATCGATCATTAGCATGCAGTTTATTTGTGTTAGTTGTAAATTACTCCCAGTCCTAGTAGTAACCAAATTGATGCGATTGCGAATTGCGATCATTCAAGAACACAAGTTAGGCATTGCGTTGCAGTTTAGTACTACACCAGTACTGGTCCTGCATGCATATTGCATATGCCGACATGTTGGACAGGCAAGCAAGAAGTCAAACATGTGACGTCACTATTTGGCCATGACCTGAAGTCGCATGTTTTAATAAGCTACTAATATATATACGATTTTGCAGAAACGTTGCTTCTGTAGATCCAGTCGTATTATTATTTTGTCAGCTAATAATAATTATTAAACGTGTATACTTTTGGACTACTTTTGTCAGCTAATAGTAATTTTGTTACTAATGATTTTACTATTATTATGTAACTCAATAGTCTACTAACAATAATGGTTGTCTGCCCATCAAAGTCCATGTTTCTAGATGCAATAATATCTATCTTTTCTGTATACCTATAGTACATATGTGCATGCACTGAAAATGACATTGCTGTAAGTTTGCAACGCAATAGTCCAAGTCAAGTCTTTGAAGGAATCAGGTTAATAATGAAAGCAATGCCTGCCTGTGGAATAAGAATTCCTTGATGCAACTTGTGTCCATATTACTGCTAATCGATGATCACTTTAACAAACTTTGATTAGCTTGACTAGATAGCTAGACACCGAAATTCCCCGTAATAATGGTAAATAGTGGTGCTATGATAGGGAGACAGCAGATAGGATAATCTCCCACAAGCAGGACAGTTTAGTCCACGAAAAAATTGCGTGGTTGGAATTTGAAGCTGGGAATCCCAGGTCCAAATTGTTCAAGAATCAGGATATTTTTTCACAGCATCTTTGCATTGCTTGCGTGGACAGTGGCCGGATTCACAATATATCACAGTGCTGTCTGATGTTTTTTTTGTTGTTGAAAAAAGCAAAAGGGCATGGACTATGCGATTCAGTTATTGAGAAGAAATGATCAGCAAGCTAATAAGGTAAATTGAAGGTACCCACCAGTAGGTGGTTGCAAATTGAAATACGCAGTACGTAGTAGTCGACTAGTGGTAGGTGGATGTGTGTGTGTGTGTGTGTGTGTGTGTGTGTGTGTCTGTTGTTATCCGTCTCCAGGGCTCATTAACTAGTCTGGTCTGATCTTATCTCGTAATCCATAGTGTCACATGAAACCTTGCGTTTGAATGATCTTTAGAAGGAAAAAGAAGTTTGCTTTTGAATGAAATTTAAGTGTTGCACGTGAACCTTGGCGATGTCGACCGACCTTACATACGTACTGTTACAGCTAGCTAGCTAGCCAGCTAACGACCACGGAGTACACACACACACACACACACACACACACACACATACAGTTAATGGATACAATTATATACTAGTCTATATAGAGTATATTGTATATGCAATTAAACAGCTCGTCGTTGCCGCCAATGACATGCATGAACATAATAATGTCGTCGAAAATACAATTAACACTTAGCTAGGTAGCTAGCGGCGCTGGTAACAGGGCAACACTTTTTTTTTAAAGATGAAGAAGCAAAAATGCAAATTATACATTAAACCAGATGAGATGCTAGCAAGCTGCTCTCTGGTATATATATATGCTTGAGAGATACTCCTATAAGAAACAAAATTGTTGGCAACAGGTAGCTAGCTAGCGTAGTAAAGGGGTCAAGATCAGCAACTAGCTAGCTGAGAGCGAGGCCGAGGAGGAGGACAATGAACAAGCAAAGGCAGCAAGAGCCAAGAAACCGGCGGCAAGCTAGCATCTAGCTAGCTAGGTGGCAGATAAACATACAGAAGAGTCAACTTCCATGCTATACAAGGGAACATCTTCCATTTGGCTCACTCTCTCTCCTCTCTCCTCTCTCTCTCTCTCTCTCTCTCTCAAGAAAAAAAAGAAAGAGGAGGAGAGAAAAGTAAACATCTTTGAATTGTGTTGGTACCTAGCTTGGACTTTGGGAAGCATGCGTGCATATGCTTCCAGCGGGGTATCAGGACAATGGAGATACTTTATATATATATGAGCAGTGATTGTTGCAAGTTAATAAACTAGCCTACCAGCTTGGACTTTGCACATGCACGCTCTGTGTATGTATACAAGTTGTTAATATATGCATGTTTGCGAAAAAACAAAGTTGCTAATATATATGATTATCTATTGAACTACTAGTACTGCTAGTATATTATACACGTATATGTATGTATGTGTATAGTTTCCATTGGTTAACTGGCTGGCCCCTAATGAAGAGAATCTCATGTCGATCATCTTTTCTGTTCAAAACTCAAGCAACCGTTGGACAGCTATATATGTCCCTATCATGTACGTAAGATCATTGACGGAATCGCTACGGCCTCGCTCTTAGCTGTCACTATTGCTAGTCACGACGACACGGTAGAATTCACGAATAGATTATATATATATATATATATATATATATATATATATATATTGTCTCATTAGATTAGGTATATATAGTTATTTTTGTTACCTGCCGTGCAAAAAAACAAGCAGCAGGACAGAGTAGCCGCATCTCGATCGTCTCTACCGAGAGGAGGCGTCTCGGTAATTAGTAATCATCTCGAAAAAGATAGGTACATATGCAGGCATCCAATATTACCGTATAATACTATGTACTTGCTCGGATCCGTGCCGGTCAAAGTAGCTCAAGTTTAACCAAGTTTATAGCAAATAATTTTAATATTTATGTCTCCAAATAAATTTATTATAAAAATATATTCTATAACTAATCTAATAATACTAATTTTGCATCAGAAATATTAGTATCTTTTTATATAATTTTGGTCAAAGTTCTGTTTAATTTCTCGAAACCTAGAATTGCATTCTTTTGTGAACGAAGGAAGTATTATTACTATGTAAAATATACTGTACCTACTCCTTTATATTAAAAGTAGTAGTATATAGAATGCAATCGTTATGTATGTACACTAGCAGTAGTAGTACGTCGACGGTAGTAGTAGTCCCGTACCTGATTGGCGAATCCGACGCCGATGCCGAGGAGGATGCGACCGATGATGAGCATGGCGACGTTCTGGGCGGCGCCGTTGAGCGCGGCGCCGACGAGGAAGGTGAGCCCCCCGACGAGCATGGACCACTTGCGCCCGAGTACGCGGGTGACGGTGGCGGCGAAGAAGGAGGCGACTAGCGCGGCGAGGTAGAGGGAGGAGGTGAAGGTCTGCAGCAGCTGGTTGTCGTACTTGCAGTACTGGTTGGTCTTGGCCTCCTGCTTCTTCCGGAACACCTCCGGGAAGAACTTCTTCAGGAACGGGTCCATGGAGGTCACGCCGCCTGCACGCAAAGTACGGCACGAACATCGATGTCATCGATCGATCTTAGTAGAGAGAGTACACAGACAGACACCAGCAGGTTTTGCACCGGCAGGCCGGCCGGAGAAATTAATTAAAGAAGAAGAAGCAAAAAATGTAAACGTAGGTCGACGACTGACCTGAGATACCGATGTCATATCCGAAGATGAGACCGCCGGTGGCGGCGACGATGCAGGTGAGCAGGACGAAGAGGGTGAGCTTGCCGGGGTAGTCCTTGCCCCCGCCCGTGTTCACGATGGCACCGCCGGCCATCGTGTCCTCTTCCTCTAGCTAGACGGTCGCCGGAGAGGCAGCTGGCTGAGAAAACAAGGAGCTGAGGGAGGGAGAGACTATGTATCAGGTGGAGGAGGGGCTGAGGACTGAGGGTGCTCAAGGAGACGGAGGGCTGTGCTCCTTATATAGGCACGGGAGCATGGACATGTATTATGTAAATATACATATCTATAGACACAACACAATAGAAGATACATATATGGTATGATTGACGGCATGTAGTTGCATGATGCCTGTGTGTGTGTACATGGTTTAGTGGTCCATCACTGGTTGCAGCTAGCACGCAGTGTCCGACGATCGAAATGGATGCATGATTAGCAAGTCAACGCTAGCTTATCTTGGGATGCATACACACACATGTGATACTACGGTGATTGCATATATTGAAGATAAGATCCATGGATGCATGGTCAGAGCAATTAAGCAACAAGTTTAAGGCCCAGTTGGAGTAACCGTTACGGATGGAGAGACCTAACTGTATGTACGTGCATATATATGCGGCTGCTGAGTTGGAGAAATTATATAATCCGTTGTTTCAGTTCCCATATCTATCATCGTCAGATTATGAGGTGATGATGCATGCATGAGATAGCTAGGGTTGACTTGCTGCTGCCCTGCTGGCCTTCCGCCCGTTGCGTTTGCATTTGCTTAATAATATCTCAAGATATATATCGATCGACTTCTCTGATTGGTTAGTTGGATGATTAATAATTAAGAGTAATGAACAACAATATATATACACCCACATAACATGGATATATAATGCAAGCTAAGGAGTCAATCCGAGATCCCCTCTCCTCCTATCAAACGGTATAATAATGCGTTCTAGTGTTGTCTGCATTGTCGCATTAGTTAACCTTTTGTTCTTCCTTTCTCTTGTCTGTTTTAGCACTTTACATAGCTTTCAAGGATGTCGACTTCTATTTATTTCTGATTTTATTTGTTACAAAATCCATTTTTTTCCAAACTTCAACTATTATGGTAGCACGATTTTAAAAACTGAAGGTTGGAAATTTAATTTTTTCATGATAGATAGGGGTTGAAATCTAGATGTCACATTAGTAGAATTGTGTTACACTAGCAAACATGCACGTGCGTTGCAACGGGATTCAATACATAGTGAGTTGTAGCACGAGTCATGAGTTCGAGTCAAAAATTAATTTAAATTAGTGGTAAAAATCTTTGTTTCTTAAGAAGTCAAAGATTAAAATGGCTTTAATCTCTTATTTATTATTTGTTTTTACTCTTATTATATTTATTAGAACACAAAAAACCAAGTGGAGAAAACAATGAAAATAAAATCAGAAAAGTCGAGCTAGTGTCAAAAACATCCACGAGAAAAAAAATCTGAGCATACTCGAAGCCAAGTAGAAAACAGTCATGACAAAAATTGAAATATACTCTAAAAAATAGGCACGGAAAAAAATCAGAACATATTCGGAGCAAATGAAAAGCGTCCAAATGATCGTAAAGCAACACATACTCGAAGCAAGTTAAAATGGACAAGCCAGAAAAAAGAACATAAAAGAAACGAAACAAAGAAATTCTACCCTTCTTTCCTCTTTATTAGATTTCTATTCTTATATTTTTGTATTTGATTAAGATTCCTATTCCGGTTACTCGGAGTTGGAGAGATCTAATTGAATTAAGATTTCTAGTTGTCCATATTATTATATTATATTTTTCCTATTTAGATTAAGATTCATATTCACCCGAAATAGGAGAGATCTAATTGGATTAGAATTCCTAGTTATATAAAGAGAAGGGCTACATGTGGGTTTCCACATTCACAAAGTTAGTTAAGGGATGGCGGACAAAAAAATAAGTGGAGAGAAATTTTGCCTCTTTATTATTATGTATAAATTACATCCGAAAAAATCTAAATAATATATTTTGCTTTAAAGTCCATTTAGATTTTACTTTTGACAATTACACTAGTAGAGAACAGACTTTCGGTTTTTTGGTTTTAGTCCTAGCCGGAATTTGGCCCGGGAGTAATAAGAGATTTAGTCCCGGTTGAAACCACCAACTGATACTAGAATCCCCTGCCCAATGGATAGTGCAGTAGGCTTTTGCAGCAGGGACCTTTAGTCCTGGTCTATGGTACAATCCGGGACTAAAGGTCGCCTTTCAATCTCAGTTGGAACCACCAACCGGGATCAAAGGTCCCGCTACCCTTTTATCCCGGGCTTTGGCTCCGATCGGGACTAGAGGTTGATCATTTAGTCCCGGTAGGCTTCACCAACCGAGACTAAAGGTCCCACCTATATATACCCCGCTTCTAGTGTCTCCCAAGCCCGAGACACAAGAATCGTCTTTGGTATTTGCTTGTGCGCATGTGTTCATCCGTGTTCTTGCTTGGGGGAGCAAGTTCTTGCTCTCGGCCGCCGGCTTCATCTTCAATCTTCTAAAGGTTAGCAACTTTATCTTCTAATCATTCATTGCTAATAATGTAGATCATTTCATGGTTTAGTAATAAGCATAGAAATATGTGGTTTTTTAATTAGGAATAATAATGGTGGATTCTATTTTTATTTATACACCATTTCTACATAACCTTAAACATTTATAGTTTTCTAGATCTTTGTTAGCAACATTATTTCTTAATGAGAGTTTATCTAATATATATTGTTGCATGGTATATTTATATGGGGGTTCTATATTTATTGTGATGTTTTTTTTAGTTTTTTTAGTTACGATGAATGGCGGCAGACTTCCCCAGCCACAGGAACCAGGTTTCTACCCTGGCGATCTTCCATTCGCGCCATCGCCAAATAGGGCCGTTCCGTGTCACCTAGACCCATCAATAGTATGGAATATTTTAAGTTTTGCGTGCTAATATAATTTTTTGCATATATACATTCATTCATAACATGATTGTTGCATATGTCACAGACTATAAAACCGGTCAAGTGGCTGGAAGCAGCACTATGGCTGCTCGGGGTGTGGGACATCTTCGAGACGACGACAAGTGAGGTCGTGAATGATGAAGGAGGCGAGTTATGGACGTGCAGTCTCGCCTTCGACATCCCCATTAGGTACAATAATGAAGTGCGCCAGGACATCGTGTAGACCGGACGACAGTCGCCGACCAAGATAGGCGTCCAGATTGATGTCGTGCTACTTTCTTTGCAGGCAATTGAGCGAATTGGCTACCGTATGCCTGATTTTTCGTCCTTGAAGCTACAAGCTTTACATCAGCATAGTCTAGATATGCCGTGAGTAAGCGAGAGGCATGCGACATTCAACCAAATGGATGTGGTACATCGTGTATGATATGAGAGTAATGTTTATTTATTCTTATTATTATATGAACGCTTTCTGATATTTTTTGTTTGTCCGCTTGCAGGTTTTGCTCTATGATTTTCACCTATGCTACATGTGGCTTGCAGCCCATTTTCACACAAGCTATTAAGCGACTGGGGTACGTCTGGGACTTCGTGGAAGCGATGGGCTAGAGGACGACAACTGACATTCAGTATTGCATGAGATTTAGGCAGAACCAGGCCATCGCTAGTCCGTCAGTAGGCTACATCTATAGGATGCCATGTCCTCGGCGTTGTGAGGCAATGGAGAGTGTTTTAGTGCGGGTCCTGCATTACATAGACAATGATCGTGGTTACATAATCCGAGACATACACTAGTGGTAGTGGAGACAGGCTAGGGTTACAGCCGATTAGGATCCATGTGTTAGTTAGGTTTATTCGTAGTGTTATGTTTAATTTGGTTTATTTGAACGGTTATGTTTAATTTGATTTATTTATATGGATATTTTAATTATGTTTGTATACAAGTTAATTATGTTAATTAGGTTTATTTGTATGGATATTATAATTATATTTGTATGGATTGAAATTTCACTCGTGTAGGATTGAAATGCATATGCAAATAAAAAAATCAGAGAAATAAAAACACTAGGCATTATGGAGGAATAATAAACAAAAACAAAAAAAAACCCTTTTAGTCCCGGTTTGTGTTACAAACAGGGACTAAAAGTCCCCCGCCTACCACCACTGCTTCCTCCTACCACGCCGCTTGATCACCACTCATCCCACACCTACCACCCCGCTGCTCACGGTTATAAAACCGGCCACCGGGCGCCATTCATCTCCCAGGACGATATGCATGCAGTTTTCTGTTGTGTCCAATTCCATCCCAATTCATTCGTTGTTGTTCGCCCAATTTCCTATCCACATATATGGTCACTCTGTGGGAGAAAGCCCTCCACATACAAATTTTATCACGCGTAGTCAACAATGATGCACACAAGAGGTACTAGAAGAATATTTTTGAAGATGAAGCAACGCCGAAGCCTGGAGAAGCTAGGTGCGACGCTCCTGCAATGTAATTGTTGCATGGGCTGTCTGCTACGTTGATGGATCCATCAAATGCGGTGTGCTCTGGACTGTCTGACGGATTGTTTATCCATGCAAGGCATGAATAGGCTATCCATAGGTTGATGGATCATTCCGAGGAATGAATGTCCTGTCTTTCGAGATGTATGGGTTCATCGGAGCTCACGCAACCGCCCCTTTGTCCCCAAATAGGCGTAGTTCATCATCCACCTCTGGCATCCTCTCACCTATTTGACCCTACTTTGGTGCTAGAAGAATGTTTTTGAGGTGGTTATTTTATAATGTGTTGGTACACTTTGATGGTAACATTGACCGACTCATAGAAAGGCCTTTGTTATTGTATATGTAATTTTATTGTTAGGTCATTGTTATCGTATATATACCTCAAATATTTATTCTAAGGTTCTCTAAGATCTTTATTATTGTTTTTGATGTCGCATGCATCTCATAAACGACCTTGGATGGAGAAATGTCCAAAATAAAAGTTGTAGATCTCGAAAAGTTAAACAACTTTGTAGTTGGCAACTTTTCATTTAAAGTCATCTTGTCAAGGAAAACTATGTTTGAATTTCTCAAATTTAAAATTTAAATTTTTAAAATGACCTCAAATGGAAAAACAACCAA